GGCCGCTGCTGCTGGCAGCTGCGCGCACCGGCGCACGGAGCAGACATGCTCGTGGTGCCGCGTGCGTCAGCGCCTGGGTCGTTTTCGGCAATAATGCCGGGCCACCATGCCAGCGCGGGGTGGTGGATCAGGTTCAGGATCGCCCCCTTTTCGGCGTGTTGGCTTGCGGTTGCGGCGGCCTCAACGAGCAGTCGAGCACAAGGGAAGGATAACGTCTCTGATCTGGACGCCGGTCGGATGCGCTGATGGGGCCGCGTCATGCTACTGATTGAGCCAAAAATCATTGCACTGATGATTCTGATCCGTGCTTGCTAGTGCTACAGCGAGATCGTACTACGTTGATGGGAATGGGACTAGCAAGCACGGATCAGAACGAGTTTGATTGCATACTGCACATACTCCGTTCCGCAGGACAAGAAAAGAAACACGGGGTGCGCTGCCGGCAACGTTACCCATCATCGTCAACTCATGGGCGCCCGCCCATCAGGGGTCGGGAGCGACCAAAATTGCGGCGTTTTCCCTTCCTTCCCGCGGCGCCGCCAGCTTGTCGCCGCCTGGACGGGAAGGGCGACTCCTGCGGCAACCGCACATGCTGCCTTGGGCAGTTGGGCGGGAAAAACGTATACCTGGCCATGCAGCCCGCGGGCTCGTGGCCCGGCAATTTGGCCCGGGCCAAGCACGGAACGACCCGGTGGCCATCGGGCCCGGGCCGGCCCGGCCCGAAGGACCAGGATGTGCCTGGGCCGCCACCTAGGCCCGCGGCACGGCACGGGCACGGCCTGATGAAAGAGGCGGCCCAGTGAGCGGCCTGGCCCACGAAGCCGTCTCCCCCGCGCGGCCGTGGCCGTATCCCATATATATGCTGCACCCCCGCCCCCCATCCCTAACCCTAATCCCATTCCACTCCCGCCGCTCGCAGTCGCAGTCGTCTTGTCTCGCTCACTCTCGATGGGTGGTACTGGTAAGGGTAAGCTCATATTTCCTTTCTAGGGTTTCTCACAAAGGTGAGTTTTACCTAGAAAGATTTTTAATGAGGCAGCATTGCACAAAACAGCTCCTTTTGATCATCATTTTCATATAACCTTGTCTCTTTGTCTTTTCTCTTGTGTTGTGATTTGTGATTTGTGATTGTGTGGTACTGTGGTGAATGTGAATGTGAATCTGTGAATGAATCTGTGAGCTTTTGTAAAAATGGTGATGAAAATGACAGAATCTTGTTCAAAACTGATGAAAATGAAGAAGTGGTTCAAACACTCGGTGAAAATACGATGAAAATGAGACGTTTTTTGGTTGTCGGGTTGTGGGCCGGCACGGCACGGGAAAAATAGTCGTGCCCAACGGGCGGCACGGCACGGTCAGACGGCTCACGGGCCGTGCCATGGGCCGTAGGCCAGGCACGAAGCCCTTGGAGGCACGGCACGGCAGGCACGACGGCCCGTCGAGGCAAGACCCCCATCAGGCCAGCACGGCACGACGTCGGGCCGTGCCGGGCCGGCATGGCCCGTTGGCCATCTATAGAAAAACGTCGTGCACAGCTCGTGGTTTTTGTCTCTTTGCTGGCCTCGTCGGCCTCTAGCGCGAGCGAGAGTGACGCGACAAGGTTGGGGTGGTTCACTTGCTCCCGCCGTTTTTCCCCGTGGTACTCGTGACGGCTTTTGCCGACATCGGCCTCGACTCTACTAGATGCATGCACGGTATGCCGATGTGAGCGATACTAAATCCCAAAGCGATACCCGTGTAGGAGACTGACAGCAGCCAACATGTTCGGTTGACTGGTTCGTGAAGAAGTACTGCTGGATAGTTTGTGTGAGAGAAAAATACTGTTCCGGCTGGAAATTTACGATCGTTTACGACAAGCCACAGCCAAACGAACAGACTCAGCATCGATCAAACGTCGTCACGCACGGGAAAACTACAACCTACCATGGAATTCCAAGGTGTTCCCTGTCGATTATCTCGTTCTGGCCATTCCTGGCGGTTTGACTGGGGTTATTGCTGAAATTTTGTCCAGGTCTCAATCTCATCCGTGCAGTGGTAATGGGTGCTAGGTTTGAAAAAAAAGGGCTCAGCCATTCCCTGTGTTTTCGCGTGCTCGTCGTGCCGACTTCCATCTACTAGATACTAGACTACTACTACTATACAAAATCAAAGCATGGCGCTACGAACAGGATATTCAAAATTAAATCCTAAGGATGGCATGGTAAATGATTTTGTGTATTCTTTATGGAGAGGTCATGCGTTGTCAGGTACTACAACCATGGATTTTTAAGAAGTCCGTATCAGCTAGTATCTCGGTGGTTCGGCTATTCCAGACGCTTTGACTCGTGCTTATTGCTGTGATTTACGCCAGGTCTCATCCGTGGTGATGGGAGGTAGGGTTCTTTAATTAATTCACAGCCATTCGCTGCTAATGGAGTGGTGCTATCTCGATTGGTGTTTACTGGTACAATCGTTCTCTTGGCACCTTATGTGCTTTTTAAATATGCAATCCCCAAATGGTCTATAAGCACCTTGATGTGATATGTTACTTTTTGTTACTAGCTACTCCATCTGTTTTATAAAGATTGCGCTTCTAAATTTTTCTTAGGTCACCATGCCTACTTTTAACCATCAATTCCTATAGGCCCGTGTTTAACACATAAATTAACTATGAATAGTCAATTTAAAACAATATTTTCTACATTTCAAATTATAAGACGTTTTGACTTTTCTAGATACATAATATTTTCTATATATTTAGATATACATTATGTTTAGATATATAATAAAAATAATGTATCTTAAAAAGCAAAACTCTTATAATCTGGAACGGAGAGAGTTACGGATTATTTTGGAAACTATAACAATAGAAACGTTTGACTCTAGATAAATTCAAAATAGTAATTTTGTAATATAGAGAGTTCTTTTCTTTGGAAATTTAACAACGTGCATAACCAATTTGGTCCATTATGTTTGAATTTAAAATAACAATATGTATCATTTAACTTTATCCTTTGTCCTGAGTTAGCCCTGTGCCGACGAATACATGCTTAAGAATTAGAACCTGTTTGAAACTGCTTTATCAATTATGCTCCACAAACTATAGAGTGAAGTAGTTCTACAAAAATCCTAAAGTTTCTGCAGCACCTCGTCTGGTACTATCTTAACTCCGTTTTTTTCTAAAGCCGAATATGTAGAGCTACCTGCAGAACAAGCGCGGCAATCTCAAAAAAATCCTGAGCCTTCTCTACCCGAACTCATGTATTAAAAAAAATCATTCAAGAGCACACCTTACCCAAAGAAACTGTGTTTCATCTTTTGGGCCTGTTCGCTGGTTGATGTTGATTTAGGCTTGCTGATGTTAATTTTTTGTGAGAGGAAAATACTATTAGTTAGCTGATTTGGACTGGCTGAAACTAATAAACAAATAGACTGTCTGAGAGAAAGAAACTCAAACTGTGTTTCTCCTTTCTCAAAGTCGAGTGCCATCTGTTGTCAGGACCGTCACGACATTAATTACGATCTTTTGTCATTTGTCATTGTCAAAACATGGGCTCCCGAAGGTAGAAAAGTTAAAAAGAACGTAGGGCCTTGCTTAGATCGTAAGTTTTCCATCACATTAAATCTTTGAACACATACATATTAAATATAGATAAAAAAATAACTAATTACATAATTTAATCGTAAATTACGAGACGAATCTTTTGAACCTAGTTAGACTATAATTGGACAATAATTATCAAATACAAAAAAAATACTACAATACTAAATACTAATTTCTAACCCCAATCTAAACCGGGCCTAAGAAATTTGTTAAGCCTGCCATCCCATCTGGCCATCTGCCGATCGCGTCGCGTGACCGAGCTCGTCACCGCACCGGGTTCTCCGTCCTTCTTATCCCCGTAACGCCGTCCCGGGGCCGCCACGCCGTCGCGGCGCGAGCGCCAACGAATCACCTCGCCCTGGCGGGGCCCGCGCTTGCTTCACCTCCCCCGAGAATCCTACCCTGGCGGGGCCACCAAAATTCCAAAGCGCTCTGCTTCAATTTTTACCGCCCCCGACACAGTTTAGTTGGAAATCACGAGATGAATCTTTCCTACCACGATCTACAATATTTATCAAATAACTGGTATTCATCGAGTTGAAATTTTTTCAGCATCTAAACGAGGCCCTACTACTGGTATTAAAGCCGCGTCGAGCCGAGCGGCCGGCGCGTTTCTCCTCGCGCTAAACTAAAGTAAACCGTCCCCGAAGCCCAAAGCCAAAAATTCCCCCACAGGCCGCATCCTCCTCCTGCAGCTTGCGCGAAACCCTCCTTCCTCCTCGCGAATTCGTCACCCGGCCTCCCAAATCGGAGCGGCAATCGGATTGTTGGGTCTCGAAGCTGAGTTGTGCTCCACTCCGTGAGCTATTCGTTGATTTCCCAGCCTGAAGGCGCCGATTTTCCGGCCGTTGCTGGAGTGGTCTTGGGCGAGGCTGTGGTGGCCGCCTCGGTGGGGCCTGGATCCGGTTGGGTTCCGGCGACAGATCGGGTTCTTGGAGCAGGACATTACTTGGGACTCTTGAGGTGACCGTAGCTGCATGGTGACCTTTTTTGAGGTAAATCCTTGTCTTATTGGATAAGTTTTTATCTATCTGCCGAGTCATAGTTAATTCTCTTCTTATAGTTTTAATGGCCTGCCATCGTGTTCAAGCATTGTTTACATTTTAGAAGTAGTACTGCCTGGCGATTTTTTTTGGTCTTCTATCTGATATAAATATGTGATGTTGCTTGCTTGTAGTTTGGTTCAGTTCGTTTCCGACATCAAACTTGTGTGATGCATGTTGTTTTGTACTAGCTTGTTTTCTCCGTCGAATGCGTTGTTTACTATAGTTCGATGCCTCTTTTGTTTCAGGAAACGGATTGAATTCGAAGACCTGAAGATTTATTAGCTGGCCCACACCATTTTCGACAATAAAAGATTCAGCTGTTTCTTAGCAATTTCTGAAGAAGCAGATAGAGACGACTTTTGAACCTGGCAATGCATACCAAGGCTCAGATCCACGCTGACCCGGTCCTGGAGCTTGACCAATTCGACGGCTTGCCTGATTCTCTTGTGCTGCTGATCCTGAACAAGCTTGAGGACGTGCGTTCACTTGGCAGGTGCTCTGCCGTGTCCAAGCGATTCAGTGGCCTGGTTCCCCTCGTCCACGATGTGTGTGTCAAGATTGACCACGTTGTGACTGTGGACGGTGACTCTGATGACGCTCTGAGCCTGTCGTCGCCAAAGCCCCACAACATCATCTCACATTTGTTGAAGCTGATGCTGTTCGCGATCGCCAAGCCCTTCCATGATATGCGCAGCCCCAATAGCACTGGGCGGCCGCTGTTCCCTCAGCTCTCCCAGCATTCTCCTGTGCAGGTGCTGAAGAACTTCTCCCATGTTCACAATCTTCAGGTGGAGCTTCCCTCTGGAGATGTTGCGGTCGAGGAGGGGGTTCTACTGAAGTGGCGGGCTGAATATGGCAGTACACTTCAGAATTGTGTGATCCTGGGTGGAACCTTGGTTGATCGCAAGGCTGCTGGGAATGGGCATGAGCCATCGTCGGATGACAATGGAAGCATGCCTGAATCTTTCTATACCAATGGTGGGCTGAAACTCCGTGTTGTATGGACTATCAGCTGTTTGATTGCTGCGTCGACGAGGCATTATCTTCTGCGATCAATCATCAATGACCATCCAACGCTGAGGAGCCTGGTCTTGGCAGATGCCGAGGGGCAGGGTGCACTCTCCATGGGGGCAGAGCAGCTGAAGGATTTCAGGGAACACCAGTTGTCAGCCTCGCCATGTTCTAACAGGACACAGGTACCAGCATGCAACATGAAGCTGAAGTACGCTCAGTACCTCGAATTGCCTGGCGGCTTGGCATTGCAAGGTGCAACCTTGCTTGTCATCAAGCCCGCCAGTGATGGTAGCAGCAGTGGTCATGGCAATCGGAAGGAGGTTGACGCCTTTGTTTCAGGCGCGTTCAATGGACCCTTGAGGTTTGCTGCGAAGGCGCTGATGAAGAGGCGCACCTGTCTCCTGGAGATGAATGGGTTCTAGAGACCTTGAATTGCCATATATCTTGCTTTTTGGTCTTTCTATGAAGAGGGGGCATCTATCTCCTGTCTGATCTTTGTACAGTATAACCATCATAGCCGATGATATGATATCAGATTATTGCCTAAGCTAAGCATCCCTATAGAAAATTGAGATGTCTGGTTGTGCACGGTGGCAGCACACCGTTTGTGCCTGCTGAAAACACGTGTAGCATGAAGTATGTGCGTGTCCCATTGCTCAATGAAAGGCGTAGGAGGATACGTTTCCCAGGAAGTGCTGCAATGAAGGCAGCCTAGTAATGTCTGTTGGTCACCCCTAAAAAAGAAGCTGCTAAAATATACCCCAGTTCAAATTAGATACATTTTTTTATAGAAATTACACAGTACAACGTAGATGTCAACAACACGCATGCACACTCACCCCTATCAATCATGTTATGTGTATACTCTTTTTTTTTTTGAGAAACATGTGTATACTCTCTTGTCTCGTTCTTCTCATGTCCCTGTAACATAAGCCCAGCCCATGCATCATTCCAGGCCCACTCACCAGTCCACGGTGATTTTTTTTTAAATTTTGAATCCTTTTTAAAAGAAAATTTTAATCCTAACCCTAGTTGTATCTTTTTTTTTTAAAAAAAATAAGCCTTTTGGCCATGCAAACTCCCTGACGCGACAAATACGCCAGAAGTGCTAATGCGTATTTGTCGCGTCAGGGAGTTTGGTGCGGCCAAAAGAGTTAGTTTAAAAAAACATTCTAGCTAGAATTAGAATTAAAAATTCTTTTAAAATGGATTAAAAATAAACAAAATTATCCATGATTGTGTTATTGTTTCTTCTCCTAACTTGCTCCCCCACTCCGTCCACCTCCTTTTCATCTTCCATGGCAGCATCAGTGTTCTCGCCGCCTCACTCACCGTCTGCCATCGGTGCCTTCACTAAACGGACGGGAGGCGAGACTCCACCTGTCCACACAGGCACTCGCCCGTCCCTTTTAAGCCGGGAGGAACCCAAAAAACACAATCTAATTCATGGTCAGGGAGGAAGCCTCCCAGGACTATCATTGAAGTCCATTTTTCCTCGTCGAACTATAATAAAATGGGATAAACCCTCTGAAATGTAAAAGTCATTTAAATCACCTCCTTTCCCGTTTAGAAATGATTTTAATACGGTCTCATCTTTTTTAAATTATTTTTAAAAAGTCCGATAAATATTTGATAAGTTGTTTTCAACCAAAATCATAACTCTAAGCTTCTAAAATTCTGAAAGAATATAAATAAATTGGGACATGAGAAAATCAAATAAAATATTTCAAGAGTGTGTAGCTCCAAGCTCGCGAGAACTCTGATGGAAGATGGGCCATGGATTCATGGTGGCGCTCCCCCCCCCCCACACACACAAGAATAGAGAGGAGGTGGCCGAGCTCCAAGCTTCTACCAATCCACCGCACCATGATTTGTCAGAGTTGGTGGGGGGAGGGAAGAAGGGAGAAGATGCTATTAACGACGTGTCGGTGTAGATGTAAAATAAGAGAGGGAGGGAGAGTTAGCGAGTGACATGTGGAGCCTACAATCAGCATGGAACAACGATGTTTTTTTAAAATTGCTGGCATGACTATGCCAGGCAAATATATTGATAGAGAAGAGGAAACAGTCAAAGTACAAGTGAAAAGTCCAAAAAAAAAACCAATAGGCCCAAATGAGGGATTTAGGCCCTCAAGGCAAAAGAGGCGAACAGCCTAATCCATAGGCAAAAATTCTCGTAATGGCATGGCTTCCGCACTACACCATAGTCGAGCCTCTTCCTTGATCTTTGCAATCAACATTGTCGGCGATTTGTATTGATGCTCAAAAATCCTTGCATTTCGCTCTCTCCAAAGCTCCCATGTGACAAGAAGCGTCATCGATCTCACTGCTTTACATGGAGAAGTTGTTGACGTCCCAACCGTGTGCCACCACTGGACCACAGAGTACATGTTGTTCCATCCTTCACGCCTAGGAAATTTTCCGTTGGTCCAAGATCGTATTGCTTCCCATATTCACTTTGAATATCTACAATGGGCGAAAAGATGGATGTCCGATTCATTTGTGGACATGCAGAGAGGATAATATTGTTGGTTGGGGCAACCGCGAGCTGCCAACCGATCAGCTGTCCAAAGTCGGTTTTGCATTGCTAGCCATGCAAAAAACTTGCAAGTTGGAGGTGCCCAGGTTTTCCAAATTAACTTGTCAAAATATGTGTTTACTGCACCTATGAATTGTGCCAGGTACTCTGAGCAAGCTGTGTATTCCCCAGATGCAGTGAGCTTCCATGTAATTTGATCCTAAATTTCCGGATTTAGTTCCACTTCCTGTAGTCCTTGCCAAAGGCGAGTAAATTGGATGAAGTGATGTACAGTATGAAACCTCAAGAGATTAATGTCCCTCACCCAATTGTTTTCAGTTAAAGCTTGTTGCACAGTTATGTTCTTTCTTCTATTGATTTGAAAAATCAAGGGGGCCACGTCCTTTGGACATTCTCCATTCCACTAGGCTGAGTGCCAGAAGGATGCTTTTGCTCCATTGCCTATTGTGATCTTTGTGGCAGCATTGAAGAGGCGGCAATCTGACTTTGTACAGGGTACCTCCATCCCAGACCATGGCTTGTTATCAGAAGTCCAAGCTAGCCACAGCCATCTGATTCTGAGTGCTCTAGAGAAACGTTGAAGGTCAAGAATTCCCAGACCACCAAGCTTGGTGGGGCGAAGAGCTCGCTTCCATGCAACTTTGCATTTACCTCCTGTGATGCGTGTACCTCCTGTCCATAGGAAACGCCGTCTATGAGAATCCAGCTCAGTGATGATGCCCTTCGATGGCTTGAGCGAAGTGAGGAAATAAAATGGCTGCGAAGAAAGAACAGACTTGATGAGAGTATTTCGACCAGCCTAGGTGAGTAACTTCCCTTGCCAATGCGTAAGGCTGGAGGCTGCTGAAAGCATCTAGGCCCCTAGTTGAGTTTTGGTGATTAATGACAATACGTGATTACTATGACTAACGTGTGTTTTGCAGAGGCAATTAAGTTAGGTCATGGTAATGGAGATCGATTGGGCAATCATGGTGGTCATGCCCCTACGATGGAAATCATTTCGGTTTTCAAAGGATGGATGACAAGGTTAAGGATGGACTAGTTCTAAGTGTCGTTTGGAGTTGAAGAGACACTTAGAGTAGTTTAGGACTTTGTTTTTCCTTTGACCATACTATTAAGGGGGTATGGACGGGTAGTTTGACCTAGGTGAGTCTAGTGGGTTAGGTGTGGTGCACACTTGCTAAATCCAGCACTAGGTAGCTCTAAAATAGTCCTTAGATCTATTAGAGCAAACTTCATTCACATATGTTTGAGAGTTGGAAGTGAATGGAGGGTCAAATGCTGACCGGACGCTGGCTTCGGTGTGACCGGACGCTGGCGTAGAGTCCGGTCAGTTCATTTGACTAAGGTGAAATTGTCTGGCGCGATCGAACGCTGAGAGGTGATTGACCGGACGCTGAGGGCCAACGTCCGGTCGACTCCAGTAAGGTTTCAGAGAGGGAAAATCATGACCGGACGCATCCGGTCACTACTTTATCACTAGAGTTCGGGGTGAACTGATCGGAGCGTTTGGTCAACATGACCGAAGCGTCCGGTCACCCCTCAGATGCACAAAACGGTTCGTTTTTCAGCCGGTGTTATAAATACTTACTCCACTCGTGTGTGGGGGTACTTTTGCTCATTCCAACAGCTGAGAAACACCTTTGAGAGTGCCAAGAAGAGCAAGGTCCTAGTGAGGTGATTGAAATTTAATAATCCCAAAGAGAGCCCTCATTAGTAAGATCAAAAGTAGCAAAGTGTGCATCCACCCTTCTCATTAGGCTTGTCATGGTCAAGTGAGAGTTCGTGCTTGTTACTCTTGGTGATCGCCATCACCTAGATGGCTTGGTGGTGATTGGGAGCTTGGTGATCATCCGGAGGGCTTGTGGATGACCCAACTCAAGTTGTGAGCGGTTGTGAGTGATTCGCCGTGACGGAGTGTCAAAGAATCAATCCGTAGAGAGCACTTGATCCTTGCGCGGATCAAGGGGGAGCTACACCCTTGCGCAGGTGCTCCAACGAGGACTAGTGGGGAGTGGCGACTTTCCGATACCTCGACAAGACATCGCCGCGTTCCTCCTTCTCTCTTTATTTTGAGCATTTACTTTGAGCAATTTAATTCTTGTCATTTACATTCATAGAATTGCCATGCTAAAGTAGGATTGGAACATAGGTTGCTAAACTTTTGTACGTTAGATCAATAGAAACATTTTTTGGGCACAAGGGGTTAATTGGGCCAACCGTAAGGTTTAATTATTGCAAAGAAATTTAGAATTAGCCCAATTCACCCCCTCTCTTGGGCATCTTGATCCTTTCAATTGGTATCAGAGCCTCGTGCTCACGTATTTAGACTTAACCATCTAGAGAAAGATGTCTCACGGGGATGGTCCTCCTCCTATCTTTGAGGGGGATGATTTTCCTTATTGAAAAATCCGCATGGAGGCGTATCTAGAAGCTCTAGATGTTGGAATACTTAAAGCCGCCTCACAAGGTTTCCCAAAACCTCGGGATGTCACTCACCTACAAGGCGATGAGGTGAATTATGAAAAATAGAATGCAAAGGCTCGAAACACCATCTTTAGAGGCCTTTGCAAAGATGTGTTCAACCGGGTGAGGAACCACAAAGACGCCCATGCACTATGGTCGAACGTTTGTGCGCTCCATGAGGGAACAAAGAGTGAGCATGAGGAACACTATCATCTTGTCATGAAAAAGCTTAACTCTTTTGAGATGCTTCCTAAAGAATGTGCTAATGAGATGTACTCACGTTTGAATGTTCTTGTAGAGGAAGTCAATTGGCTTGTACTCATTCAAATGCAACCATCCGATGTTGTAAGAAAGATCTTGAGTGTCATCCCCATTGACAAATATGGGCATATTATGACCATGCTTCATTAAGGTGAT